TCCTCTGGTGATCAGGGGTCAACTGCTGCGATCATCCATCTTCTTCTTGACAGTGTCCTGTCAGCCAGGGCGCTCACGTTACTAAACACAACCGGCAGACCTCCATTGTGTTCCTGCGCCAATCTGCAGCCATATGTAAATGAAGGTACCGACCTCATGCATGGTCTAATGTGAACCTTGGCATCACCTTGGAAATAACATTAGCTGACATAAAGTCACAAAGGTCTCCTATACTGGGGCTTACAAAGTACAGCTAACCATCTGGCTTTGTTTGTGTGAGAATGAGGAAGGTTTTCTTGGAATCTCTCCCTTCACGTGATGCGGCGTAGGGTCTCCAATTAGGCCTGGCAGGTCAGATTCCAAGAACTCAATCCCAATAAGCTGTCACTTTTTTATGCTTGTTAAATTTAAAATAGTCATGTCCAATTCACATTTGAAAATAAGTCTTAGACTGGAATGCATAAACACCAACAAAACATCCATGCCCCATCACAAAGAAAATGATCTGTGACTTTCATAAAAGATCAGAAATCTGATGACTGTCTTAATTTTAGATTTTCTCTCCAAATGCTTTATAAAAAAGAGTAATGTCTCTAAGTTTATTTCTAATGTGTAGGCTTGCAATGTTGCTCTGTTCTGCAAATGAGTCTGGTAGATGAAGAAGTCTAAGGAGCCTTCAGCCTGACAGTTATCCATCACGTAAATGTCCTCAACAGGAAAAAAAAACTAATTGAAACCACAGTACAGCTTAACAGGAATTAACTAAAATGTGTAAGAATCAAAAATCACAGAAAAATTCCAGAAAGTACAAACTGATACTAAAAGCCAGCTCTTCATCTATGACTGGTCCCAACAGCCTTGCATAAAAACTATTTTCACCTCATCGGTTACGAGATTCTGATTATAATATCATTGTGTCAGATGAATGTTCCTTATTTGAAGAATAAAAAATGGAGAGAATATTGGTGTATAAGAAGACATGTCTGCATGGTTGTCCTGACAAAATGAAAGTCAGAAGGTCTCAGGGAAACAAAATCCCCGTTGCTCAAAATGAATCAGAATTTTCCCATCAAAACTGCTGTAAATTTCTCATCACCAGTCCCGTGACATGCTTATAGTAAACTTCTCTTAATCACACTTTGGTTCATAAAACAGATGAGGCAGCGTTGATGAAACACGTCTAGGAAATGTTGGGCAATGCTGCTTTATCTGTAAGATACTCACAATAATTAGATATGATTCATGAGGCCTGGATTATGCCCATAAAAAGAGACCAAACATCTGCATGTCAACATCCAATAAATGTTGAAACTTGGTTGAGACATTTACTCACCTTTTTCACGAAACAAATAACCTCCTCATTTTCAGCCTAGACATCTGTTTTATCCATAACCTCAACCAGATCCATCCTCAATGGATTAAAGCCACTCCTATTAATGTCCTTAATCAGCACAACTTGTTTTACTCATTTATTTGTACATTTGTAAAACTTTAGCTTAATTTATAGCATCGTTTTATTCCATGTCGTCACCTTCCTAATATTTTGTCCTGTCATTTTTTTTCCAAGAGTGTTAGGTACAATATCTTTACAAAAGATATTGTGGCAAAACAATATCTTTTTGCCTAAAATATCTTTGGGAAAAAAAGAGATGGTGAGATTTTTTTTTAATAATTTTTTATTTTTTGTCAAAATCACTATTTTTGGCAATTAAAAATTTGATCTAAAAATGTGTGTATGTCCTCCCTTTGCTGCTCCTCATTCACAAATGTATATTTGAAAGGGGAGAGGGTGAGGGCCTGGACGTGAAAGTAAAATAAGTAGTTTTCCTCTCTGCTTGCCAAACCCCATTTTCTAACTTTGTGCTTGTCCATTCCTAAGAGGAAGTACCAGTGTTTTGTCTACTAATGAGAAGAGATTAGAGCAAAAGACCCACAAAGAAATATGATAATGTAGTTAGGATTGTATATAGGAATCATAATCTGAAACTAAATGTGATCTGTTTTTTTTTCACATTCTTCAAAAATAATTGTTGTCCCTCTACTAGTGGAGAAACTGAGATAAAGACAACAGACTGTTGGGTAAGTCTTAACCACGTCAAAGCATCAGAAATAAGCTTTTCACACACATACAAAAACTTATATGATAACATAATCCCTCTATGACCTTAGACAATTATTTATATGACTAGTCAGTAAAATCACCTGGGAAAAATCCAAAATATTTTCTGAAAAGTCAGTGTTTAAAAATGTTTTTATCTGTCAGTGGGTTTTCACAAATCGAACAATAAAAAAAAAATTGCAATATGTTTTTGTTCCTCTAAAACAGATAAAAACCTTTCTACTCTCTCTGACCAACAATTCAGATTGAGAGTTCCATCAGTCAACTGGGCCAAAGGCTAAATCTTCATATTTCAGAGGAAGGAGCCAGCACATTATTGGCATTTTACATGATCAATGACTTAGGTTCTCTTTTCATTACTCAGTTCAGTTCAGTTCCTTTTGGTTTCACTTAAATATCTTGGGACTCCGCCCCTAAGCAATCAATTTTATAACATTGTCAACTCTATTGGAAGCAGGATCCTGAGCAAAGAATACTCCATCTGTGTGTTTGACTGCTACCTGCCAGGTCAGGACAACAAACAGGAAAAGCCATGGGAAGCTCTTCATAGCAAGCACACGGTTGTGACAGGATCCCATCCATCACCAATTTATTCCAATTCTGAGTGATTTAGGTCCATTTGGGTCTCCTGTGGGTTCAGCACACACTTGTCATTTGCGTAATTAAGCCCTGGGGGAGCAGTAGAAGGCAGTCATTTGCTGCATTAAATCCTCACCTTATCAATCAGGGGAACATCAAGATACACGAGGACCCATGACACTTGGCTTCCTGCCTTCATTTGAAATGCTAAACAAAACTTTATTTCCATGCCTGAAGCTGGGCCTGGCTACTCCAACCACCAACCGGCTTCTATGCATGTTAGCTGTCTCAGGGAGATGAAGCTCTGCCCCTTCCCTCGGGGGGCTCAATCATCAATCAGTCTCCAACTAACTTCTGTCTAAGTCCTAGACAGTCAAGACGGATGGTGCCAGCATCTACAGGATGCTGCAGTATCCCATTAATTCTCCTGTTAGCATGCACTAAGAGAAATAGCTGCAAGATGTGAAGCATTTTATCTGTTCTCTAGCCGTCACAGTCGGCTCCCTTGTTTGGCCGAGGGTCACTAGTTAATCATTTCACAGGCGCTGGTTGTGATGTGTCAAAATCAGACAACATCCATTCTCGGCATTGAGTCAAACAAAGACACAAGTGTCCCCCAACAAGGGCCCGTTCGGTCTGAACGACTCGTTGGCTCTGCCACAACCAGCAGACAGTCCTGAACAGAACCAGGGGATGAATGGATGCTATTTTCACAACGCACACTCCTTCGCAAAATGAAACCCTGGCAGGCTGCTGGGACACTTCAACAGGCCTTTTTCAACACTCCCTCCACAGAGGCCACCGAACGAACACAGGGGGCGAAGAGACTGACATTTACTGCAAAACAAAGAGTTAAAGACACACTGGGAAGAGGGGAGGGGGTGGACATAGTGAAAGACAAGCGGTCCCTCTTTGCAGAGAGTGATGAATGAGTGGATCACAACAAGTTTTGGAGAAAGTCTTTCGCTCCACACAGGGAGCTTCTCAAATGGAATGACTGACAGCTAAACGCACCAACTCCACCTGCACCAACATGTCGGCTGGATACTTTACTCACTGCTCATGTTATTACCACAGAATCCCATAACAGGCTTGTCTTAGGAGAATAACTGCTTTATTGGTGCTCATCTGAAATTAGGACATGTCCATCAAATTAAATGGATGTAAAAAAAAAAAATAGAAACAGCTACCTTGCCAATTAAATCTATGGCACCGAGTCCTAAAATCCTCCAAAAGACAAAGACTGATTTTTTTTTCTGGATCTATAATTTAGCAAGGTCATTTATGTGTATGTGTGAGTGTGTGTCCACTGTGAAATGCAAAATCTCAGACATTGAGCATCTAACTCATCCCACTGCAGCAGTGTTGACTGACAGTGACAGAGTCTACAAGGCTGCTAATACTAGATTAAATCATGATTTTCAGCAAGAAAACTATAACTAACAAATCTGTCATAACAACTAAGCTACATCAGTTCTAGAGGGTTACTTCAAACTCCCCTAAAAAGTGTTGTCAGAACAAATTCAAAGGGATTTTACCAAAGCAGTTCCAGGTCCCAGGTTTCAGGTTGAGCCAAGAGAAAAGCGGTGATAGGTCAGTTCGGGATAAAAACCTCAAGTTGTAGCCCTAAACTTCACAGTGTTTATGCAGTGGATTTGTATTTTTATCCCTTTGGGACAAGCATTCACAGATATTTAAACGTCCCAAAAAAAGAATGTGCTACACAACAGCACGGGGCTTTTGTTTGTATTTATTTGTCCCTCACATAATAAACATTTCAATATCCTTGAGGAGGATTCTCATTGGAGATATTCAAGCCTTCTCCCCAGACGGCTACAAACAGATGCTGAAGTTTAAATTCTTATTAAATGACAGTTAACAGAAAGCACGAGCCATTTTCAACCAGTATAACTGAAAAGTAATGTCTGGCACCCTCTCTCCACAAAGCTCAAAAGTTTGTGGGGAAACAAAAAGTGACCCTCAAAGCCAGAGCACTTTTCCTGCCATAGTAATTAGTTTTTACCCTGGTTAATACAGTGGAAGAGCAAGAAGGCAATAAAATCCAAGGGACACTACTCTGTTTCTTACAGTGAGAAAATAACCCTTATATATTGATTTCACCATTCAGATTATCTATTTTGGATCTGCTTCGTGAAATTTGCCTCAAATTGTTTTTACAGTCACGGACAGTTGGACTAACTGCTCTGTTGTTCAACTGATAGAAATACTTTGAATTGTTTCTGTTCTTCAGGAAACTACTGAATGGACAATTTGGTGTCAATGGAGCCACTGCAAGAAGTGCTGATGGTGCAACATGATTCTCATTTTATTTAGATCAAGCACCCCTTAATACAGAAGTGTCTCATGGCTCAGCAGAGATAAAGCTAATAAAGGTGCAGCGTCAAAGCTGGAGTTTGATTCACATGGATTTAAACAATGCGGGGATAAACTCAGCGTGCTGCTGCCTTACCTAGAGGTACTTCCTTAAGTTGCTCCTCAAAGAGATTAATTAATAGAGAAGGGCTTCCGTTGTGGGGACTTTGCAGTGAGACACAATAAGAAAAGGTGGTTGGAGTGATTAGTTTTGAGTTGCAGCGTTCTCTCTGTGGAGAGAAGTTCTGAGGTTTTCTTCAAACCTGAGGGCACGACTGGATCTTATGCATATTAAAACAACAAGAACAATAAGAAGTCGCTCCATGGGGCTGAATCAGTGATAGCCTGCTAACATTAGAGACATAACACAACTTGAGGCAGGCTGTGTTGCTCTAAATTACATGGCCTAATATATTTCATTAGCACACCTCCCTCAGAGGGGTCCCTAATGGAAGACAGCGTGGCTGAAAGCTCATCTGCCAGGGATGCTAATTTGTTCTAAAGCACATTCCGTTAACTTATTACTGGCTGCTGCTCCTTATAAGTGGTTTAGATTGAGGTTGTCCACTTTGAAAAAAGAAGGTCTTGGCTGATGATGCACGCCACTTTAGTTCTATGACCTAAGATGGCCCGGTTTAATCTACTGGATCTATTCTAAGGATTTTTATCTTTCAAGCCGGGTAGCTACCAAAAAACAATCCTGCGAATATTTCAGGACAGAAAAGGCAAATTATCTTTGACTGAAATGTCATTGTTGGAGCCTCACAAAAACAATTGAACCCTTCCTCTTCTACTGCTACAGAAGAAGCCGCCGTATCTGTTATCCGTTGTGTCAGGACTGTTTGGGGGAACAGGATAGCACAGCTTCCTCTGAACCAGTGGGCTCTGCTGCTGACCAAGTCGGCTTTGGATCACTTGAAGAGAAAAGGGTTTGCGCTGAAGAGCTCAACTCAACTTACTGAATAATCCCCAAGTCAACAGACTCAGGCCGATAAAATGAAGAGCTTTACAATCAATTAGAATAGATTCTAATGATTCAGCTGCATGAATCCTTTTACCAACATAAATATTCGGCCGTCCATGTCCATATTGTTAATATGCTTTCTATTGGTTGTTATTTAAGCAAATTACAAGTTTGTGAACTACACATTTCTTCTTTTCAAACTATTGCTGTGGTATGACACCTCTAGCCACACAGGTTAAATGAAGTTCAACTACTTACGCTCACAAGCATCTCCTTTCTGATGAAATCCAGCTTTGCATATACATTTCCCAATGGGCACGAGCCATTCCCCTTCAGCGCTGCAGTGCATCTTGGGGGAGTTATCAGCCTCCTCCTCAGCATCATTCACACACATGCCTTCCACCTCCACCAGCGAGGAGAACTCCGATCCTGTCACTGTGTCTGGGAAGGTGGCCAGATTCTCAATGATCGACCAGCACTTCTTGTAGTAGACTTTGACAGAGACCAGGGCGATGCATGCCCCGACGTCCTGGAAGGCGAGGTAGAACCCCCGCCTGGACAGTGGACCGATGATGCGCACCTCCGTATTCAGCTTCATCTTCCTCTCGCCCAGGTCTCCCTGGGTGAAGCTCTCATCTGCCGCGATTGTATCAATTTTCACATACTGATTCTCCCTCAAGCCCCGGCCAACCTCGGAATCTGTTTCCTGGTAATACAGGTTGAATGTCTCCTTGCAGGCACCCACCACACCAGGTAGGCTGTTACAATCCCTCAAGGTGAACTTCAGCTCGACAAAAATTCTCTGGGCATCGCCCTTCTCTATCCAGTTAGTCCGAAGCCAGTTGTTCTGATTGGGCTCCATGACTTTACAGACCTGGTAGGTACGAATGGGTGTGTAGTTTTCATCCAAGCCACTGATCTCTTCCCACTAAAAGGAAATAAGATGCATTAAAAATGAGTCTATCCATAAGGAAATGCATTTCAATATTGCTGTGAGGTGCAGACGGAAACTTAAATTGGAGCTGATCAAACTAACTGATCAAAGGTGTATGAAATCTAGAGACAATGACCTGCAGAGGGAGGAAGAAGATTGGATGTTCTATCTTACACACACATCTTTAAACAATGATTGTGTTTTGTTTATCAGATTGTCCTTGCAATTTTTATTTTAAAAGTTTGTCACTGCTTGCTTTAATAAGACTTGTGCAAGTGGTTCACTTAAGGCCTTTGTGCTCTGAATGTTAAAAGCCGGCTGCGTTCGGAAGCACAAACCAGCCTAGCGAACTTGTCCCTCTCCTGTGTGTGTGTGTGTGTGTGTGTGTGTGTGTGTGTGTGTGTGTGTGTGTGTGTGTGTTTAAACCATTATTATCCCCTATTACACAGCGGAGAAAGCACCGAGTGAAAAAACATCGAGATGCAGAGGGCATCCACTGGAATGCATGTGAGCAATGCAGGGATTCTGCAGACTTACCCCATTGGGAGGATAGGAGATCCACTCCAACTCTGTCTGCTGCGCCTTCGAGTCCAGTAGAATCACTAGTGACAGAAAAACAAGAGGCAGGTGGTTAAAACTCACTCCAGGGGCAGGAGGACTTGTTTTCACTGATAGGCCACGTGTGTGTGCTTGCATGTGTGCGTGCGTGTGTGTGTGTGTGTGTGTGCGTGCGTGTCTATCTGTCTACAACGCATAGCTACCTGTGACCTCATTCCTGCAAGCACCAGCTCTAAGGCTGAAACATGCAACACAAGGCAGGTCATGGTCTGCTGGGAAACTTTTCATTGAACACGGGAAACATCCAGAGGTCGGTCATCATTTGGTGAAATATTTATACACGCAATTTGCAATTATTGGTTGCTCACTTCAGCTACTTCTAACTGTTTCATTATATCAAGATAAGAGCATGTATGCTTCTTGATCATGTTCAATCATAAGAACCAAAAGACTGTTGAATCTTGTAAAACTAGCGGCTTATTTTGGATGTTTCCGGCCAGCGCATGGCGGACTCGCGGAGACGCCTGGAAATCAACTTCTTTAAAGAGGTTTTATTATTAGCAGTCAGATCGATTCTCTGAGAGGCATGGACGGAAAACAGCCCGGCTGCGCTCAGACGACGCGCTGTGCGCTTTGTCGATTCGGAAAAATCCCGAAGATAGACATTTAAAATTCACCTCATCAGATCAGCCGGCGTAAAACGCTCGATTAGTGCTGATCGACAGGCTACAGTTTTTTATATTATTATCGTCGTTAAAAATCTAATTGATCCTTTGGTTTCATTTTAGAATCTCCTTTATTTAATGTATCTGATCCGATTTGCAAAGCGCGTCCAGTTGTACCCTCCGTTATCTTATTTTGTTTCTCGCAGCCTGGCTTAAGTTGAGCGTCTGGAAGCGACCGCGGCTCCGTGGCGGACTGTCGTATTTCAGGCTGGACTGTCAGAGCCGAGGCCACTTTGGAGGAAATAACCGTCCAAGCTGCGTCCTGATGGACGGCGCACTCACTCCGAGCAAGGCCAGCCTGCTCATCGATCCGCTCATATTACCCAGTTAGTGGAGACGGATCGCAGCTTTAGCGCTGCACAAACAAGCTGTTAATACCTGGAACAAAAAACAAGATAATCTGCAAATAATCCACGTTTCAGTGTTTTACCGTGCGTAAAAACACTAAGAGCAAGCCGCCGCTCTGTGCCGGGATGTTATCGCCGCACACGCTTCGCTTCTAATAATAACAAAAGTTAAAATAATTGATAAATAACAAAACCAGGGATGTCTGACTTTTGTTCATTTTTTCCACAAGGACGTCGGGTTTTTCCGGACAACGACTTGCTGCTCCGTGGGACAGACGAAAACAATCCAAACTTTGGGAACTCACCTTCTTTAGCGTTCTGCGCTCGCCCGCCGCCCGCATGGCAGCACAGGAGAAGGAACGGCGTAATCCAAAGCCACGAGCTGGATCTGGATCTGGATCTGGATCTGGGGAGCATAGTGCCGCTGCGGGTTCAGTCTGGACCGTAACTCTCGCTGCTGCCACCGTCTCTCGCGCTTTCCATTGACGACACTGAAGCGGTTCTCTATAACGATCCGATGGTCCCAGCTCAAATAGTGTTTGCTGCCGCGGGGAGGAGACAGGCACTGCACGGCTATCAGTCACCGAGATGGGCGGGGTGGATGTCCAATGGGAGCGCGCCAAAAGAAACGTCACGACAACAGAGAGCAAATAGGGAGGAAATGCTGGTTTTCTTTGTGTGTGTGTGTGTGTGTGTGTGTGTGTGTGTGTGTGTGTGTGTGTGTGTGTGTGTGTGTGTGTGTGTGCGCGCGCTTTTTTTGTTTGTTTGTTTTAGGGGTAGACGTAGGAGGAAGGTCTGGAGACAGATACGATATTTTAAGTTTTCCAGGGAACCTCGACTTCAAATGGGACGTTAGTGACCGATCACCTCACTGAAGGAAAAGAATATCCTAATATCGAACCAGATTTCTTACTCTGTTTTGAAAATATCTTGTTTGGTATCGCAGATGTCAAGATGAAAGAGTCCTCTGCCATTTTTCTTATCAATATCTTGTTTCTTCCAAAGTTTCAGTTTGCTAAAACAAAATAAAGGACAGGAAACAGTTTTGTAAAAGATTTAAAACTGAATATTGATGCAGTTTCACACTCAAACGACAAAAATGCTGCACAATTTAACTTTTTAACTGGCATTTCTTCATTTTCTTGTCATTTGTTTTGGGGTTTCATGTCCCATGTTCTTGGATGTGTGCTGATGTGTACTATTTTTCAAGACTGCTGGGCTTGAAAAATAGTACACAGTCACCGAGTTTACTAGTAAATAAGCTTTACTTCTAAACCTTATTTAGAAGTAACGTTCTAAATAATGCTGAGAAAAAGAGTGTAGATTATACAGTGTTAGCATTTCACCAATAAACATTTTTATTTGCTGCTACTGTTTAAATAGTTCTGCACATATGTGATGTGAATTTAATAGCTGAATTACCCTTGATTAGGTCAATTTCTAGGATCAGTTCAATGCAAATATTATTTGAAACACCAAGCTAAATTAGTTTCTTGTGGTTATATTTGAAAATGTATATTTAATAAATTCAATTGATCTAGAACACATCCAACAGTTTATAACAAGCATGATATTATCCATCTTTCTTGATAGACACTTAAGATGAGCTTAGATTAAACACCAAACAGGGCTGAGTGTCCCTGCTGAAGGTGTCTTCCATCTCATCTGTCCTGTGTGATGAAAAGAAGCAAGAAATATTAAAACATTACATAAGAAATAATAATAAACAGGGTGCTGTGGTGGCCCATGTGTGGAGGCTGGTGGTCGCGGGTTCGGTTCCCGGCCTGGTGGCATTTGCCGCATGTCTTCCCCCTCTCTTGTGGCCCTCTTTCCTGTCGGGCTTCTTTCGGATGGAGGCCACTAGAGCCAACAAAACCTTAAAAAAAAAGAATAATAAACTTTTAGATTCTATGTGGCAGCTAAATGTTGCTAAATTAGTATGAAAAGTAGCATAAATTTGAATTATCCAACTAATATAATTTTTCATAATACATTCTTTTATAGTGCCAATTCCTGCATTGCTCTAAGTTTGATTGTCATCTTCAGTTACATCACTAACTAAACTCTATCTTCAACTAATTTTAAGTAGCAGTAAAATAAATTTAAAAAAATCAATAATTGTATATTTTTATTTCTAACATAGTTTATAAAGAAACACAAAGTCAGACAAAAATCAATATATTTTTTTTTCTTTAGTCTGGTCACTGAGGACATCAGTAAATAAATCCCACTGTTTCTTTGGGGGGTTTTTTGTTTTTTGTTTTTTTCATATTTTCAATATTATGTTTGATGAATTAATGAGGTTAACATTAATTAAATTTGAGCAAAATCAAATTGTTTATAGCTACTAAAGAACTGGATCCGTCTGGGAAGTACGTTGAGATGGCCTACTGGATGTTATCCTAATTTTTCCACATATAGTTTGAAAGATTTAACAAAGGCTTTTAAAGCTTCAAAGATACAGATGATGTAGACCATTGAGCAATTTCCTATTAGAGAAAAGACTTTCAATTCCCCCCTGGCTCCTCTGTCTTTAATGTTTTTGCCAAATATAGCATTTGATGGAGGGACATTAAATGGTGTTTTTATCTGCAGAAGGTCACCTTAAGTAGCGGAAAGTCCCACTGAGACGAAGCGTTCACACAACAGGAACTGATTCACTGCTGCTCTGCTGCTTCTCAGACATTCAGCAGAAGGATGGACCGGGGTCTTTAAAGCCAAGAAAAAATAATAATCATCGTAATTGTGAAAAACAATTAAAAATTTAAAAGTTAATTTCCCATTTCTCAGATGACTTGGCATATCACTTAAAAAAGAAAGCGTAAAAGCTAGGCTCATTAATGCTTTATACATATAGCTTTTTTTCAGGTCACTAATTAATCTCCATTACTCCCCAACAGGAGAAGCAGCTGTAATTATTGTCCACAAATATTGATTAATAAACTGTGTTTGTAAATACGGTCAGGGCTCGACAAGGACTCTCATCAAGGTTTATGTACTTTTGCTTTTATTGGTTTTTATTTGGTCTGTTTGGCCTATTTATTATGCAAATTACTGCTAATCCTTTCTGACTTTAATAAACACTGGAATCCTGCATGGATGTGTTTAACTAATGATTGTTGAAATGAATCTGGATTAATGTTACTGCTTTTCTATTAATTGCTTGCAATTGAGCAGAGCCACAGCAGTAAACAGCATGAGAGAGGGATAGGAGCTTTAAGAGAGTTGTTTCATGGATGCCGAAAAAAGTTTCATTTTTACAAGGATTCTATTTGCCCAGCTTGGCCTTTGTAGGACTGATATGCATACAGAGCCTTGCAAAAGTATTCATACCCCTTAAGAACATGTTATAATCACATTTTATTCCAAGTTATTAAGATGTCATGTGATGTGACAAACTTCCTGTAATGAGTGTGTAAATGCAAAGAGAAAAGAAAATAATAGTTTACAATATGTTCTCAGAAGAGAACAGAATAGATATTAGTCATACACTCCATAAATCTGGCCTCAAAGGAAGGATGAGAAGGAAAAGCACCTGTTTGCACCAAGCTTCTCAGATGAGACCAAATTCAATCTTATTGTCCCACAAGCAAAACACTGTGTGTGGCAGAAAAATAACACTGCACATTACAGACGTAGCACTCCATCCCTGGGTGAAATCTCTCCTCCTGAATACTGGCTTTGTTCCTCACTTGTCCGCGGCCTCTCTCTCCACTTGGCATACAGTTTCAGGGTGATGGAGTGTGAGTGAATATGAGTACCTTCTTTGTTTTATCATTCATTTCATTCTTTCTTCTCAGTAAATAATTTTCTAATATGATATAAAATTCACACCAGACGTTATCAACCTAATTCCCCACACA